CTCAAGAGTTCAACATCATCATCCATCCATCTATTCGTCCGTCTGTTTTTATATACATGTATTGCTTATCCGATTCTGGGTCACAGTGAGCATGAAAGGCAGACGACAACCTGGATTGTTGTTGGCCAGTCAGTCGCAGGGCACTAACAACCATTCACGTTCACATTCACATTGTCACTGAGTGGGAACTGAACTTAAGCCGCCTGCACCAAATATGTACAGTATATATGTAATGTAAATAACTGTATAACTTGGTATTTCATACACACACACACACACACACACACACACACACACACACACACACACACACACACACACACAGAAATGAGGAATCATTCTCTCCTCCACGGGCGACCCAAGGTATTAACATAAAATAAAGAAGTGACATCTGAAAATACGACGTGATGCTCTCACATGCTGCTCTCACATGCTGCTGTAGGCAGTAAGCGAGACATAAACGCAGACAAGCAGCAGTGAGAGAATATGAAAAAAAAAGTGGTTTCCGGATTCAAGAAAATAGTTTCATCTTTAAATGGAACATCACTTCATAATAGCGCGCAATGCCCATCAACACACTCGAGGTTCGAAAACCCCACTTCAATGAAAATGTTCACCCCAGAGTTTCAAATTCAGCCAATTTTGTGGAGCTGTACCCCAAACAGACGGCAACAGCAGAGCTCCCTCTTTGAGGTTGTGTGCAAAGATTCATGTCCACAGACATGCTAGAGGCCGGAAGTAGAAACGAGAGTGACAATGGTTGAGTTCAGTAATTGCTATCAAAGTGCACCTTCAGCAAAAGCCTTGGTCTCGTCGGAAACCTGTCAGTGGATTTGCCATGTGTTACTATCTCACCTGCCACACACAAATACACACATGTGCGTCTCTAAAATGATGATGCCCCGTGTATATACAGTACTACAGAGTCAGCCAAAATAACGTAAAACATAAATCACATCAATATTTAAAGACCAAATTTATTCAGACATCACAAGACTAATACAAGTCATCTTTGGCCACAAAATTACAGGAAGTGGTCAAAATGGTGGCAATTTGTTTCGAGACATTTTTTGTGTATGGCAACTACGACTTGGGTAATTTTGGTCAAAGTGTCCACAGGGATTGCTGCACATAAAATTTCCATTTTGTGTCAGAGGGAAACCAATGGAGTCGGTTTCCTGCGATACAAAATATTACCTATCAGGGAGAACACATGAAGATGCATGGGCAGTAATCCCATTGGACACTTTGGCCAACATTACCCAACAAGTAGTTTGCCACACACAGAAATGTATGGAAGCAAATAGTGAAGCTACGAGGCAAATACTTTTTGTCAAAGAAGTTTTTTTTTTGTGGTTGACTTATATGACACTTATCGGACTCCCCCCCCCCCTCCCCCCCGAGCCCTATCTGATGCAAACAGCATTTCATTTACATTTAAAATAGATTTTGTGTTGAAAATCAACTTTAATATGGTTAAGGGTATTTAAATCATGTGAAAGGGGTCAGATTAGGAAACAAAAACGGTTTTTTGCTATCACAGAATGTCATTGATTGGAGGTGGGTCCAGAATGTATCCTGGACCTGATGACCAGGGGTTTTGCTTTCGAACATTTACACTTTCTTGCACACCAAACTAACCATGCCACCACATTTTTTCTGCACTTGTGCTCCAGACATGCTTCAACAGAAAAGCGCCTTCTTCAAACTGTTCCCACAGCAATGAAGCCATGGACTTAGTATTTCATTCTTTCTTTTTCTAGGGAAAAGACTGATCAAAAATAGCATCAGGCGTAGTAGCAGCTTTGTTTCTACAGCAGTCATGAAATCCAAATTGGCACACAAGTCCAAAGCTGCTGTAGTGCCTTACTAACATATGCTAATGCGGGAGTAAAGTCATAATACAAGAAACGTTTGTATTAAAAACACTTCTCAAACATGAATATAAAGCAATTAAATGAAAATGTGTCTGTGAGTAAGGCGGTCACTGAACGTCCCCTCTTGTGCCGTTTGACAGAAGGTATTATGCGGTGCACGGTTCAGAAATTTCGCATGTCGGGACCACTGTAAAGCAAGCATAACGACAAGTAAAAGGTGATGCCTTCAGCGTAAGAGGAATGAGCGAACTGGGGAGACGTTGTCAAATTAAGGGGATTATTAAAACTGACTGCTTATCAGGCCCCACTATCGGAGCTGCAATGCCATTCCGTTCAGAGACTGAAGGATTCACGCGATGCAAATGAAGGAATTTATTTTCCATTTGCAGAATTTGTAGTGTAAGCAAGTCTGCGCCCTGCTTTCAATCCCTTAGACAAACAATTACAGTGTGGCCTCAGCGAGTGTCCTTTTAAGGCAATTTTCTGGCGGCACTATCTTGTCCTCCATCCCCAAGTATTCCATCAAAACAAAGGCCAATTTTGCAACACGACAAATTTGAAAGGCATGTCAACTGGACTGCTCTGCAAGAAACTTGACAAGCAAAAAGGGTTTGTCCTATAATACTGTATACTGTATGTAAAATGCAATGCAAAACTGGAATAAAATCATAGAAAATAAAAACAGGACGAATCCCAATTACGAGCCGTTACTATACGATAATGGCTTCGTATACGCAGTGTATTAACAGGATTTGTCATTCAAGCAGCCTAATGTCCAAAGTTGAGCTAGATAAATAATTCATGTACATTACTGCGTTTTGGGAAGTCCGGAGCAATGTTTCCCAAGAGAAGGCCATCAACAAGCATTCATTACCATTATATTACCATTTGCCTAATGACAAATAAACAACATCAACTTTCCGTTTCCCCATCAAAACCCAAGACACTCTACAAAACAAATGCTTCTTCTGAGTGGGACCACAAAGCTCTTAACACACTTCGACTCGACAGTCGAATTTTAAAAACAATGCACATCATTACGTTATTCTCCACACAGCCCAATAAACTCACTAATGACTTCTATAAACAAACCCTAAAGTTCTTACAGGACTATCATCATGACTATCAAGTGAGATGAGATCACAGTCAGCACGAAATTGAAAAACACATCCCCGCTATCTCATATTTGAATTTCCTATCCTGTGCAGGTATTCCTTTCAATTCTCTCTCTCTCTGAAACTTGATAAAATCACGCGGTTCCAAAAAAGAATGACATTGTGCCTTTTGGGGAGGTTCAGCCCGAGTTGTTGTCAAATAACCGTTGGTTGTCTGGGGAGAGTGTTTTTTTGCCACACTTTCAAACGTTGTTTTAGCCTAGAGCTCCAAGGACTTGCCTGTCGTGCCTGCTCACAAGCAGCGGGTTTGCGCAGCGGCTCGGTATTGAGAAGGGCATGATTGCATAACCATCGGGGAGGCATGACGGAGGCGTCTGATCATCCCAAATTTATTCTGCAGAGTGACAAGCGACACGCAGCCAGTCGTAAAGAACTCTCCTCAAAAGACGTGAAGAACAAGGCGTCCTGAAATAGAGGACATAGCCTTCTGATCCCCACATCATCTCCGCAGTCTTGCACTTGATATAAATATATATGGAAGCAACTGAGGAGTCTTAAATATGTACCTCAAAACTATGACAGGTTTCCCAGGATGTGTAAACTACCAAAAAAAAAAAAACTATCTAAAATAAAATGTACTCTCAAAGGTTAAGATAGCACGAGAATGGGATAGGACAGGAGGGTGGATAGCTTTATTTTGGAAAATAAAGCTATCTTGTACATAAAATGAGACTGGCGATCGTTACTCTCTTCCTTCCACAAACCAAACATGTTGACGTTGATGGAGTCAAACACAGCAAACTAAACATGAACTCTTTTATTCCCTATGACGTATGAATACGTCAATAAAAGCCACTATGACTGCCGACCTAGGACGTATTTAAACATCATTTCCTTTATTTATTTATTTGCGGCGTAGAGAGTTGAAGGGTATGACGCAGCCCCTGACTAACGACCAGGCTTGTCTGCATTATAAATCATTAAAAATCCGTCCATCAGGTGGCAGCGGGTGTAAGGGATCAGCCAGGAACATGCTGCAGAACAAGTAGAAGTCGAGGGGGAGGGATGCATGGGTGGAGTTGTGGACTAACGTGTAGTTAGTAGAGAGTGTATTCGAACCAGTAGCGATGGAGGAATCAAAACAATCAACCCGTGAGCATTGCTTCTGTGGAAGAAAACCTCCCACCATGATGAGGGAGGTGGAGCTGCTGAAAGCAGGATGCATTCGTCCGCGCAAAAGTCACAAGCGACCATCAAAAGAGGCTCTGTGTGCATGAACATTGTCTGCCTCAAGCAAAGGCCACACCGCAGTTGCCTTCGCAAAGTGAAACTAGAATTCGGTGTAAGACATGCTGTGTGCCCTTGTATCAGGGCAATGCCTTCATTTTGTACCACACGCAAAAAAAAAAAAGTAAATAAATAAAAGAAAATAAAAAACATGCATAAATTGCAAGGTGAAGGGGACACACACATACAGGGGCACAAAATTGCATGGAAGAGGGGACACACATGCAAGCACGTGAATGTGTGCGTGCACACACGAACAGTGCACTTATACATGCAAACATACATGTGCACACTCCCTAAACTCATTGTTTGTTTGTGTCTGTTCATGGTTCATTTCATCAATTCAACAGCGTGAAGGTAAATATTTTTGCTATCAAAAGCCCCTTTGTGCTGTTGTTTGTTTTTGTAGAAGGAAAGTCTTATTTAGATGCTTGAGATGCCACAAAAGCAAAAAAAATAGTGGTGCCATTCTTAAAGTGATGCTTGTAATGAATGCTTTTACAAAAGGGTCTTTTTCTTCAGTTTTTTTTTTCTCAGAAAATGCGAAAGAACAGAAAAAGATTCTCATCTTTCCTGTGGTAGGCTTCGTGTTCGGATCGCAGTACAACACAACAATTTGTAGCCCTTCCAAATCGGTCAAAATCCAAGGGCTGCGATGGAGGGGTTTGCTCCAGCGAAAACGGCAGAGAGTCAATGAGTGAATAAAGCACGTGTGACTTACCTTCATTAGTACTGACTCGCTGAGTTTCTCGCGATTGACGATCTTTATGGCGACTTTCTGGCATGTAACACAGTGAACTCCAAGCTTGACCAATCCTACAAAAAGCAAACCAAACAGCGCATTAAGTCCAACAGTTTGATGCTGAATAAAGTTTGTATTTGACATGAAAGCAAAGAAAATGCATTCATTTGCGGCCAAAAATCGATTCTGTGCATGTCATAGCATCTCTCTTGGCCGCACTGCTTTCAGCATGTGTACATGTATGTCATATTTCAGCACTAGTTCTGGCTGATGCAACTTAAAACTTGATGAGCAAAAGGGCAGTTGCTTTCACCAATCACGTTGACATTTCATCCTTACTAGGCCTCCAAGCCGCGCTTCACTGACATCAGCGTTTTTCCATCTTCTAATTGGTTTGTCAAAGCAAAACTTGTGTCACCGCCAACTTTGACTCGCAAAACCCATCTGTAGCGATCTGCATGTCGATGCATTAAAAAAAAAAAAAAAAAAAAAAAAAGATCAGCACCTGATGTGACAAAATGTATTTCATTATGATGGTATATTTTTGTCATGTAATTAGAAACATACACAACATTTCTGAATCGCTCCGGATCCCGTATGTTGCACAGTTATATGCTTTTAGACCACATTTATGTATCGTATTGAGGGGTTGTATATTTACCAGGCGGATTAAGTCCGATAAATCCCAACTGAAGGGCCAGGTACCAAATGAAAGGTTGACACTCATGACAGCGGGGTGGTCTCGGCAATAAAAATAAAGTAGCTGTAGGTTTCCGCTGAGATTTTAATGGGCCTGTGGTTGCTGAATTTAATGCGATGTATCGTGATATGTGAACTGAGAAGACATTGTTTACTGACCACACTGATGTAAAATGGCTTGTGACTTTAAGCCCCCCCCCCACCCCCCGTTATTGACTGCATTCGTGTAGTGACACTTCCTTGAATTGCTCTACAGGGTTTATGTGAATCATAAAAACAGTAAGAGATTGGGCTATTTGGGTTATTGATTTCTTCGATGTGCTAAACAGCTGCAATGCAGTTGTGCTGTGTTAGCCACAACACACGTAACTGGAGAGTCAACAGACACACACAGAGCCAGCCAATGAGTCTGAAATCAAACCGGCGTACGTGCATGCATGAAAAGACATGACAACGATAGAAGAATAAATTTCTGAAATTACGCAACAGAAAAAAAGCTTCACTTGAAATATTCTCAGCAGGTGTTCCAAAGCAATTCCACACTGGCACCTCCATTGATGTGGCATTGCAAACTCCCATAAACTAAACTTGTGATTCACTGCACAGTGAAAATTCAAGGCTGTCGGCTCTGCCTTAATAAATGTCTCCTGATATTTTCAGTTACACCATCAGTCACAGGCAAAGTGGAGAACAGGTATGGATACGTAAAAGATTTTACAGTTACATTGGAGCCGCATTATTTCTGTGCATTCGTCGGACACAAGAAACCCTGAACAGCCATTCATCAATCCATCCATTTTTCTGTTGAGAATTAATTTTACAGGCATTTTTTACTGTCAACTAAGTCAAATATAGCACGAAATGTATGGATATGTTAACAATCACTTAAGTGTAGGGATGCACGATTTTGGAAATGCATGATATGCGATATAGATGTTGAATGTAGCAATTTCAATATTATTGCATTACTGAACATGTTCTGAAATAATACATTTGAAAGTTTTTTTTAATCCTGTGGCAAAATAAGCACGCCCAATGTACTGTTCGCTCTAATAATTGTAATACCCCAGATCGTGTTTTCCTATTGGATGGCGATCGGCATTTGGGTTTGCGTTGGTCAAATTCCGATAGAAGCATATGGTTGCATATGAAACTTATTGCATGCCTTTGTGCAATGATATATTTTTTGATATATTATGCAGCCCTTTTCAAGTGTAACAATGATAAAGTCTGAAATTGTCCATCCATCCAGGTGGGGACGACACCCTGGACTGGTGGCCAGTAAAACACAAGTCACACATAGAGACTGAAAAACAATCACATGTGTATTTATAAGAATGTCACTGAGTGGAACTGCACCCACCCAGGGAAATGAACCACTCCACCAACATTGACTTGACTTGTACGTAAATCAACATTAAAAAAAAAAACACAAAACAACAATTTAAAGAGTAAAAAAAAAAAAAATTCTTAACCCAATCCACACATTTTCTATATCGCTTGTCTTCATTGAGGTTGTAGGTGAGCCTGAGCCGATCCTAGCTGAATTTGGGTGGGAGGCAGGGTCGCCTCTGTACTGGTTGCCAGCCAAGCACAGTGTTTTCCTGTAACTGTTGTTTCTTTTGGCTCAATCTTGCCATGATATTTACAGGTGATGTCGGCCATTTACAAAGCTAAATAACCTGATAGCCAAAGAGTTTTAAATTTGAATTCCTTCAAATTTAAACAAGAAAGAAAGAAAAATGAGGCAGAGTGTACGAGAGAGAAAATATTAAGTATATTCAAAAGATCCTCTGGATGAAGGTGAAATGCTTGAAGCTATTGATTGTCTGCGAAAGCACATTAACTGTGGAATAATGACGCACGTTGTATAGTAGGGAGGCCCTGGCTTATTAGTCAAGGGCTCACAAGGGTGGAGATGAAGCTGCATGGAGAGGAGGAATGGAGAGAAGAGATGAGGATGAGGATCTTATAAAAATGTTGAAGATTCGGGTGAGAGCAGAAGGCACTTGATCAAGATGTGTAACAGCAGTCAAAACCATTAGCCCTGTGAGGATTATCATATGCTAATCGACGGCAAAGATGCTCATGAGTCATGATAAATACTTCAAGACAAAATATCTTCCTGAAAACATATGGTGTCAACAGGATTATTGCTGCAATATCCATCTTCTAAAGTCTAATGTTTGCTTTTGTGAGAAAAGTCTGCAAAGAAAAGCCATTATGATTTCAAAGCCATCCTGTTTGTATCTTCCAAATAAACTCCTTTGAACAGCAGAACAAAAATGATCAATAGAGGTGAAGATTGCACGACTGTCTGTGTCCTATGTGTTGTGTTGTGTTATTTTTGTTATTTTGACTTCAAGATGGCGCCACGTGAGTGGCTGCCTTTCCAGCAGCTCCTATATTTTGTTGTTCTACTTCTTCCATTCATAACTTTGCTGCTGTGAATTGGGAATTTCTCCATTGCGAGACTAATAAAGGTTTCTTATCTTATCTTAGAAGTGATAAGAAAAGATAAGATAAGATAGGAAACCTTTATTTGTCTCACATTGGAGAAATTCCCACTTTACAGCAGCAACATTTGGAGGCAAGAAAGTAGAAAAGCATGAAGTATTCGCATGCACAAAATACATTTAAAAAAAATGAACTGTACACAGTACAGAATGCAATATAAAATATAAGATATAAGCACATATGCAACTGCATATGTGCTACATAAGGTGGCTGTGCTATTTAAAACGGGCGAGTGGGGGTGAGTCCAGGTTTTCAGGTACTTCTATTCAGTAGCCTGACAGCAGTCGGCAGGGACAAGTGGCGGTACCTCTTCTTCTTGCAGAGCACGTGTATCAGTCTCTGGCTGAAGGAACTGCCCATGGGATTCCGTCACATTTTAACATTAAATTCAATAACTATAAATGTGTGGTTTTGTAGGGCATGACAATTTCATACCATCTGGCATCCATGTTCTTAAATCAATAACTCTGACAGTGGGAGCAGAGTGGTGGGCAAATGCGGTGACCCTGCCGATCTGAAGCTCAAGTGCAAACACTGGGGCTAAACGGATGAGCTGTTGTGTGAGGTCAAAGCGGGATTTCATGTATGTCCAGGCCTATATTACCGGTAGTTGGACAGTACACTGAAAAGGAAGGCCGCACACATGCAGGCATGCAAAGAGAAATGTCAGAGTGATGAGATGCTCAAACGATGGCTCCATCCATCAGCTGAGACATGTTTGCTGCCTTGCTCAGGGATGGAATGGAGCAAATATCATCATGAGGATGGCTGTAGCATCAGCAGTGATGCAGATTCTGCGTCTGTCTGTCATGGTGAAGAAGGAGCCGAGAGGGAAAACTCTAGATTAACCGCTCCAACCCACTGGTCATGAGTTGCGCCTAGTGACTGTAAGAAGATCAGAGAAACTGAAGTGAGTTCCCTCTGCAGGGTGTCTGTGCTCTCCCTTAAAGAAAGGGTGCGAAGCTCCATCATCCATCATCAAGAGAAGTCAGATGAGCTGTCTCAGGAATCTGGTGAGGATGCCCCCACCACCGAGGCCCCCCCCTGGTGACATGTTTGGGAAGAGGCCTGCAGGGACGCCTATGAATAAGAAGAGCTGGACAAAGTGGCCAGAGAGAGGGAAGTCTGGGCTTTCACTGCTTCGTCTCCTGCCCCAAATACCCAGAAGACACGTGGAATACACACTTGGCTCTCTTTAGTGTGTGTTTACACTTCATACGTTTCTTTCATTTAAATGATGTCTCACTGTGCGTTCTTGTTTAAAGTAAGTTCTGTCTGAAACAAAGACAAAGATTCAGTACCAGAGTCTCTCTGCATGTTAAAGTTCTCCTGGTGGCCTGCTTTCTTTGAAACATTACAGCTCGTATAAATAGTAAAATGACAATTGGAGATGCACCCAAATAAAAATTCTTGGCCAAAACTGAAAACTAAAAATGAGGAAGAAGCCGATAATGGAAAGACCGAAAGAAAACCTAAAAATTCATCAATAAATTCCTCGGCTGGATAGTTTTCTGCCAAATGTGTCTCAGTGCAATCTCTCTGGTTCCTTCCAAGTGGCTGACCAAGGTGCACCGTGGGTGGCTACGGCAGCGTGGAGCACCGCTACCACTGGCCAAATTTTTGTCCCCTAAAAATCCCCAATCATTTTCTTTTAAGTCTAAACTTACGCTGAGCCCCAAGGCAGTGACCCATGATGTCCCAGTCCATGATTACCAGACAGAGACTGAGCTTAAGAAAGTGGCTATCCAGCCAAGTAGCCGGAGAAAACCCATGCAGGCCCGGGAGGACATGCACACTCCACACAGGAAAGCCAGAGCCGGGATCAAAACTACGACCGCTGCGCTGTGAGGCCGACGCG